ACGAGTCCGGGGCAGGTTGGGAGGCCAGCTGTAGAGCAGGGATGGGGAGAAGGAGGGAGGGAGAGGAGTGTGCCCAGGCACACGTGACGGCTGGCTCTGGTGGTGCTGGGTCATGGCGTGGCTCACATGGCAGCGGTGCATGTCTGCTTGTTATGTCACTACATGCCCACTTTGTTTTTTTCTTTTTTTTTTTTTTTTTTTTTTTCTTTTTTTTTTTTCTTTTTTTTGAATTGAGTGCATCTCTGAGCCCTGGTGCCAGCCCCCCGTCCTCCTCCGAGGCTGCGGGACCCGACAGGCTCCTTTCTCCATGTGCCCCCTCCTGTTTTCCACAGGCATCAGATGTAGTTGAGGGCCCTGGAGGGGCTGGAAGGCTCAGGAAGTGGCTACCAAGAGGTCAATGTTAGATTTTTGGGATGCTAAATGGTTTCACTAAACCTTTTCCACCTGAGGGATAGATGATGTGGATGGACAAAGAGTTGCTGCCCATCTGGTTTGTGGCCGAGTCCTCTCCAACCTTCAAACACACGTATCTGCTGGGGCACTGGGGGAGCTGGGTGACCCCTCTGCCCTTCACAGTGGCGATGGCACTTTTATTTCTTGATCTAAACCACGGTTTATTCTGGGTGAGCGGGCAGGTAGGACTTGGCGTGGCTGGTGGAAACGAAATGCCTGCGTGGTGGAGTTTGCTGTTTGGCTCCTGGCTAACCCCCGTCCCCTGTGTTCAGTTCTATTTACAAGGACTCAAACACTCTGCACCTCCCCACCGAACGCTTCTCCCCGGTTCGGCGCTTCTCGGACGGTGCTGCCAGCATCCAGGCTTTCAAAGCCCACCTGGAGAAGATGGGCAATAACAGTAGCATCAAACAGCTCCAGCAGGTAAAGGGGAGGGTTGGGGGGGCTCAAAAAGAGCCTCTGCGGGGGCTTTTTGTTGTCTCAGCTTTGCTGCTTCAGGAAGCGGGAGGTGGAATCCGTACGGCTAATGGCTGAGGTCACGCAGCGGGGGTTTTCCAGCCAAGCAGCTGTGTGTCTGCAACAGCCCTGCTTCGTGTCCTCCAAACGCCTGTGCTGTCCACCCACAGGCTGGGAACCCTGGGGGGTTTCCATCCCCCTTTTTCTTGGGGGGGTGAGCCACGTGCTGTGCCCTCGCGGGTCCTGCAGCGCTGTCAGCCTGCGGCTGCTGCTCTCCCCTCTTTTCTGGGGCAGCAACGTTCTGGGGCTGTTCCAGGGTGTCCCGGGAAAAGGGTGGTTCCTGCTGGCAGGCTTCAGGGTGTATTGTGTGCTGTTCCCCCCGGGTTATCAATGGCTGCAGCAGGAGATGGCCCCAGGATGGGACTTTCACCAAGTAACGTGGTAGAAATAGGAAATGCTCTTTTCACCTTGAAGTTCTTGTTACTGCATCTTTGTGGTTGCATTTTTAGGGGAAGGCGATGAAACCAACCTGGTGTCACGTGTATCCATTTGTTTTCTCTTGTCTGAGGCTTGAGCCACGTTATAGCACACCTGATTCTGTCAAATTAAAAGGATTAGTCTTTATTTTTCAGCTGGGGAGGCTGCAGAGAGTGCCTTTTTGCACAGCAGCCCACCGTGCACGGAAAGGTGACTGAGGGGGTGTGTTGGCTTGGTTGCAGGAGTGCGAGCAGCTCCAGAAGATGTACGGGGGGCACATGGACGAGAGGACGCTGGAGAAGACGCAGCAGCAGCACATGCTGTACCAGCAGGAGCAGCACCATCAGATTCTCCATCAGCAGATTCAGGTACTGGGGCCTGAGCCAGACCTTCCGACGCCTCAGCCGTGTTCTCCTGTGCTGCTGGGGTTGTGGAAGGGGGATTGCTCTCAGGAGAAGGGGCTTCAGCAGCGAGAGCTGCTGCCATAGCCAGAGGTGTGGTCAGGGGCCAAGGAGTTGGTGAATCTGGATACGTCCTGCTTCACCAGTCAGCGTTTCTAAATTTGCCAGCTGAGGCCTTACTGATGGCAAACACTTCTTGTTTTCTGGTTGCCTGGTTCAGGATTGTATCCGGCCGCCCCAGCCATCTCCACCCTTGCAAGCTCCGTGTGAAAACCAGCCAGCTCTGCTCACTCACCAGCTTCAGAGGTAAAGAAATTGCTTCAGGAAAGCTCTGGGGAACGGGGTTTGCTCTTACTCAAGCCCAGGGATGAGCTAATGCGCTTCCGAGGCCGGGGCCGGGTGGGAGGCGTGTGAAGGTAGAATGGCAGAGCCAGTTCCCAGGAGAACGTGCCTCCTCCTTGGAGCTGGATTCCCTCTGAAGGACTTTAGCAGAGAAACATAATTCAAAGGCCCAAACTGGCTTTGAACAGCTGATTGGCAGTTCTGCCTTTTGACCAGCTTGAAGATGCCTTGCCTTCAGCAGCTGGTTTCTCTCGTGCTTCCTGCTCGGAAGTCTCACACTTTTGGGCCTTTTGGTTAAGTACCATCCTTGGCTTCAGCCCCCTGACTTGTCGATGGGGCAGGCTCAGTGATGGGAGAGCAGAAAGGCATGTTTCTCAGCAGCCACAGTGAGTCAGGAGGCGAGGCCGCCGTGTCCCCAGGTTTCTGCTGTAGCCACCAGGTTACGCCTGGGTGACTCAGGTGACTCCCAGCAGGGACACCAGGCTGTAAGGAGCTTGGGATCCCCAACGAGGCCTTTGTGGTGTTTATTTAAAACAAGAGAAGTGCAGCGTTTTGTGTCAGCTCTCGCAGTCAGAAAGGCATCTTGGGGAGGAGCAGGGATGATGAAAAGGTGCTTGTTTCCCTGCGCAGGTTACGGATCCAGCCGTCCAGCCCGCCCCCGAACCACCCCAACAACCACCTCTTCAGGCAACCCAACAGCAGCCCCCCTCCCGTGAGCAGCAGCGTGCTCCAGCCCCACGGTAAGCGCTGGCGGCTGCGGGGCCCTCCTCGGCAGAACCCTGTGGTCCTACCAAACCCCCGGGGAAAACATCCCTGGGGCTCCGCTCCCCCCCTGCGGCCCGGGCCTTGTGCAGTTTCACTGCTGATGGAAAAGATTCTCCATCTGGGAAGAAGGGCTGGTGTCGTGGAGAGCTTCTGAGGAGCTGGGACGTGCCGATGGGTTTCTTATCACAAGGTCCCTGCTGATGGCTGCCGGGGTGGGGAGGAAGGGCTGATACTCTCAGCTTTATGCTTTTGTTTCTCTTTCTGTGCAAGGGCTCCAGCTCTGACCTTTGCACGCAGGGCCATGGAGCACTTGGGAATGTCGCTCCTCTTGCCACCCATAGACACCTACTGGGACTCCCAGTATGGCCCAGAAGAGCGGCATCTCCCACACGGGACAGTTCTCACTGGGGTGCTCGCTCCCGAGCTTTGCCGCAGGCCGGCCGGGTGCTGAGGGTCTCTTGTTCCTCGTAGGTGCCACCTCCCAGTCCCAGTTCCAAGGGATGCCGTCCCACAGCACCATCTTCCCGCAGTCCGGTAACTGTTCCCCTCCCCCGGCCATGGGGCTGACGTGCCTGGGCCTGCAGCAGCAGTCGCAGCCTCAGCAGGTCACCATCCAAGTGCAGGAGCCCGGCGACATGGTGGGCAACAACCTCCTGCCGGGGCCCTCGGTGGGCGGGCAGGGCATGTCGTCCCACGGGCGGGCCATGCCCCTCAGCCCCGGCGCCAACCAGCTCCAGATGCAGCACCGCGCCAGCCTGATGGCCTCCCTCACCTACGGCCACAGGCAGCTCTCCAAGCAGCTCAGCGCCGACAGCGCCGAGTCCCACAGGTACGGCCGCCCCGCGTGGCTGCGAGGAGGGAGGAGGAACTGGGGGTGGATGTCTCAGGGTGCACTGGTTTCGGGGAGCCGAGCTGTCTCCCTGCCCTGGGCAGCGGTTCCCAAGCCAGCTCAGGGCTCTGGGAGTCTGCAGGGCTGCTGGAGAGGGTACCACAGAGGGCTACGAGGATGATGAGGGGCCTGGAGCATCTCTCTTACGAGGAGAGGCTGAGGGACTTGGAGCTTTTTAGTCTGGAGAAGAGAAGGCTGAGGGATGATCTGATCAACCCAAAGGGTGGGTGTCAAGAGGATGGGGCCAATCTTTTTTCAGTGGTGCCCAGGGACAGGACAAGAGGAAATGGGCACAAACTTGAGTGTAAGAAGTTCCACCTAAACATGAGGAGGAACTTCTTGCCTGGGAGGGTGGCAGAGGCTGCCCAGGGAGGTGGTGGAGTCTCCTTCTCTGGAGACATTCAAACCCCCCCTGGACACGTTCCTGTGAGACCTGCTCTGGGTGGCCCTGCTCTGGCAGGGGGTTGGAGGAGATGATCTCCAGAGGTCCCTTCCAACCCCATACCATTCTGTGATCACGGGGCTTGGGGAGCATCTCCATCCCAGGAGCAGGTCTCTCTGCCCCCTGAGCTGAGCTGGAGCTGCTGCAGGGCGCTCACTGGCTCTTTCTGCTCTTCGCAGCCTGAACGTGAGCAGGTACCCCCCCGGCAACTACGACCAGGTGCACTTACACCCCCACCTGTTCCCGGAGCAGCCTCGCGTTTCCCCCAGCAACTACAGCCCGTCGGGAGGAGTTGGGTTTCCTCCAGCTCAGCAAGCTCTGAAAGTCCCCCAGCTCGACCAGTATCCCAGTTTCCCTCAAAATGCACATCAGCAACAGCAGCAGCACTACACCGCGTCAGCACTACAGCAAGCACTGTTGTCCCCGACGCCCCCCGACTACAGCCGACACCAGCAGGTACCGCACATCCTCCAGGGACTGCTCTCCCCCCGGCACTCGCTCACGGGGCACACGGACATGCGCCTGCCCCAGGCGGAATTTGCACAGCTCATCAAGCGGCGGCAGCAGCAGCAGCAGCAGCAGCAGCAGCAGCAAGACTTCCAAGAGTTGTTCAGGCACATGAGTCAAGGGGATGCTGGGAATATGGGCGCCAGCGTGGGACAGAGCCTCTCGGAGCGCCAGTCCTTGTCTTTGCCTTACCAGAGCGCCGACACCTACCACCCGCAGAGCAGCCCCCAGCACCTCTTAAAAATCAGGGCGCAAGAATGTATCCAGCCGGTTGCCGGTGCGGTGCCGCCGCACGGATACGTACACCAGCCCGCCCTGTTCCATTCGGAGAGCATGGAGGAGGACTGCGCCTGCGAGGGGGCCAGGGACAGCTTTCCGGACAGTAAGAGTTCAAACACGTTGACCAAAGGTTGCCAGGAGACCCCTCTGCTGGGAAACGCGGGAGGGCACGGGGACCCAGACCCTTTGCTGGGAACTGCCAGCCCCGCGCAGGAGCTGGGGACGCACCAGTACAGGCACCCGCCCGCGCCCGGATTCAGTAGGAATAAGGTGCCCAGCAGAGGTAAGGCTTCCTGCTGCCCCCTCCGTAGCCCCACCGGCCCCCCCGTGCTGGAGGACATCCCCCTCCCTGCGCTGCCGTGACATGCTTGGCATAGCACGGAATTACCCAGATTCTTTGGGGCTTTTGTGGCCTGAAGTAAATTGCAGGCAGAGTCTCGCTAATAAACGGCGCCGGGTGAGGAGGGAACCCGACCGCCCGCTTCCCTCTGGAACGTGACCTATTTCTGCAGGCAGGTGAAGAGCAGGGGATGCTCTCTGCTCTTGGCTCCTTTATTTGAGGTGGTGATGTTCCCCATCCCGGGCAAACAACAGGCTAGAAACAGCCTTGTTGGGAGCAGCCCCCTGAGCGTGGCGGGACATCCCCTCTCCTTTGAGCGCTGGCCTTGCTCACGCTCCCACAAACCTGCTCGGTGGGAGCGGTGATAAATACCCTGCGGCAAAGGCCGCCTTGCAGCAGCGTTGCTGGGGTTCCTGGGGGAGCAGCAGCCAGGCTCAGGCCCTGCTCGAGCTCCAAGGAGGAGCCGAGTGGGAAGAAAGTGAGTTTTTTAAACTTGCCCTTAGCGCCTGAAGACCTTTCCTGCTGGTTGGAAGCCGCCGCGCCTTTGCTCCTCGGTGGCCGCCTTGGCAGCGGCGCGCTGGAGGAGAAATTCCTGCCTGGGCTGTAATTACAGGCCTCCTCCTGGATGAAAAACACCATCCCGGCCCCTCGCTCCGAGGGCTGCGGCGGGAGGCTCTCCGGGCAGAGCGGGGCGGATCAGTATTCGCCGCAGGACGGAGCCGTGCTGGTCCCGAGCCATCGGCTTTGCCCTTGGCACGGAGGGACCCTATTGCGGGGGAGCGGTGTCCCGGGCACAGGAGGCAGGGCTTTGTTTGGGGACACAGCACGGGTTTGTTGGGAAAGTACTGGGTTGGAACAGGCTGGCGGGGAGGGCAGAGCGGGCACGCCGAGCCCTGCCCCCCCAGAGCACTGGGACAAGGCATGGCTGTTCTGGAGACCTCTTAAATTTGGGGTTCCTGACCTGCGTGCTCTCGCACCCCGATTTCCCTGCGGAGGGTGAAGCTGGAGGGAGGGATGGCCCCGGGTTAAGCAGAGGCTGGAAGCTGTGGAGATGCCTTCTGTGCCCAATGGTGAGATGGCATCTCGGTGCCGTGGCCCGTTAGCCAAACGGCAAGGCCTAACCCCAGCGCCGGCGGTGCTGGAACCGGTTACACAAGGGAAAAGGACTTTAGACTACAAGACTTCGTAAATGAGTATAAAGCAAGTAAATGTTTACAAATAGCGTTGTGTAAGCCCTTCTGACAGGGCTGTTTGGAGGCCTCGCGTAGTAAACTCTGTCCTGAGACGAAACCGCTCGCGCCGCTTCCCTCCTGCCTCCAATAACCCACTTGGAATGGGGCCTGCGCTGCTTCGGTCCCGGGTGGAGGTGACACCTGAGCGGCCTGGGTCCCCTTCCCTGCAGCGAAACCCCACAAACCCTGGCTGTAGAAGCCACCACTTCACTGGCTGTCGCTCAGCCCCGTGTTTCCAGGCGTGGAGGAGATAAGTGGTGGCCAAGTGTGGCTCCTCTCCCCGAGCCCTGGTGCTTTCTCAGCCACATCCCTGCGATTTTCCACTATTTTCCCTCTTGCTGTGTCCCCAGCGGCCTCTCCTGAGAAGAGGGGTGTCTTCTCCTCTGGCCCTGCTCACCAAAGGCCTTTTCCCTGGAGCGGGGTGTAACTTTGCAGCGCTTTGGGAGGACGTGTGCCTTCCAGGGGAGCTGCTGAGCATCTGCTGGAGACCCCAGTGTGTTTGGGACGTGGCCGAGCGGCTCTGCTCCGGCTTTCGCTCCGACCGGAGCCGGCGCAGGGCTGGGAATGCTGCCCATGGGAAACCTGCCCCCCCCGGGCGCTGGAGGAGCCCGGCTGGCGGCGGTGGCAGTGCCAGTGTCACATGCCCCCCTGCCACAAAGGCCCCGGCCCCTGTGAAAGGCTCTGCGAGGGAGGGAGCAGGAATTCAGGCCGGCCTCAGCTGCATCCCCCGGGCTGCCTGGGGGGAGCTGGGGGGTGTCTTTTGGGTCAGGGCTGCTCCAGGCTGGGGGGTCCCCCTCGTCACCTGTGGGGCTGGGGACTCGCTGCTGGAGTCCCCCCCCTGTTTGTGGGGCCGGAGAAGGAGGCGGCCGTTCCCACAGTTGGAGCGCGTGGCGGGCCGTGGGTGGGTGGCAGCAGCTCTTACCTCATGTTTTCCTTCTCCCCTTTCCGGGAAAGCTGAACTTAACCGCGCGTAACCCCGGGGTTGTGCAAAGGAAGGGGGAGGCTGGGGCTGGCTGCGGCCCCGGCAGCCCCGGGAGGGGGTTCCTGCAGGACTCCGGGGGAGGAAGGGCTGGCAGGAGGCTCTGCGTCCCCACGGGGGGCTCGGGCAGCAGACCCTGCTTGGGATGGGGGCTTGTTTGGCTCTGGGTGACTTTACGGAGCGGTCTCTTTGGGGAGCATCTTTCTGGCCTCTGGCAGGTTGCGGTCCCGGCCAGGAGGAGCGATCCTGGTGCAGCAGGAGGTTGCTTCCCCCAAAAATAAAGCTGGGGAATCTACCTGCAGCTGCGTCATTTGAGGGCAGCTCCCCGGTGCTCGCGGCCACGTCCGCATGTTTGTGCTCCCCGGGACTCCGCGCCCAGAGCGAGCTGTTTACGCGCCTCGGGCCCGGTGATAGGCTTCTCCAGAGCTCAGGACTTTATTCAAAACATCGTGTACTTGATGACGAGAGGTTTTGCTCGATAGGAATGTAGCCTTTACCCTGGGTCAGAAGGGCTTGCAGCGCAGATGGACTTTGCCAGGCAGAACACTCATGCGCTCCTGCAGCCAGATTGTAGGAGGGTAGGGAGAAGTCATCTGATAAAAACGAACATCCTGGCCAACTCTTCCAGCAAGATTATGTTGCTGACAATTGCCAAGGGGCCCTGCTAGAACATCCTGTGTTGGAGGCCGGGGAGATGCTCTTGTGTAACGATGTGGACGGTCCAGGGAGGAGGGCGAGCTGGGGCTGGGGGGGAAGTGCTGGGAGAGGCCTTCAGAAAGGGTCTGGTTCCTGTGCTGGGGTCCTCCTGCCCCGTCCCTCTGACTTCAGGCTGCTTTTGTAGACCCGATGAGGTCTTTGGGAAGGAGAATCCTGCCCAAGTGCCATCTGGGGGGGCTCTACCCGCCCGGCCAGCGATGGGTGTCTGTGTGTCCCACCAGATCTCAGAGCCAGGGTTGTGGGGTGGCGCGCGTGGCCGAGAACTGCGGGTTCCTGGTGCTAACCTGTGGTTTTTCTCTCGTCTGACTCCTCAAGAGTCCATCGTGGGGAACTGTCTGGACAGGAGCTCCCCCGGCCAAGCCATGCAGGTGCCTGACCACAACGGCCTGGGCTACCCCGCGCGCCCCGCCTCCAGCGAGCACCCGCGGCCCCGGAGCCTGCAGAGACATCACACCATCCAGAACAGCGATGATGCCTACGTAGGTTTGGAGGGACCTGCTCCCAGCAGAGCTGCCCTGACATGGGGGGGTGTCCTGTAGGACCTGTAGGTGCCTTGCTCCACAGGGAACGAAAAGCTGGGGCCATGCTTTGGTTCTGTGTCCAGTTGGCTTAAAAATGAAAGCATTTTAGCAGAGACCAATACCCAAGTGCACCCCCTTCACTCGGGGTTCACCCCAGGTGGCTGTCGCTGTGGCATCTCTTCTTCTTCCCCCCATGAGGTTCTTCTGAGGAAGCTCTGGGTTGTGGCTGTGGGTGCGGGGGGCTTTGCAGGCACACAGAGCTTGGCTTTCGGGCCACTGAACAAACTGGCCCTGGCAGCCCAGACCCTGCCTGAGGGCAGAGAGTGGCTGCTCCACTTCTCCAGCAGTTTGGGCCACTGGGAACGGTCCTGCCCAAACCTCGACGTGTCCTCTGCTCCCTTCTGCTCCAAGCAAGAAGGCTCTTCCCTAGTTGTAGTCTGGAAGGGACTTGGCCTGTTCAGTGCCTTGTCGTGTGTTGAGGGGACGTGGGCTGTCCCCAAGCTGTCCCCACGTACGCACACGTTTTACTTGGCAGCCCTTGCTGAAGCCCCCCGGGGTGTCAGAGGGCTGGGGGGCAGCGGGGTGCCTCGTCCCATGCCCCCGTTGACCGCGTCCCGCTGTGTCTCCGCAGGTGCAGTTGGACAACTTGCCTGGCATGAGTTTAATGGCAGGAAAAGCACTAAGCTCCGCTCGGATGTCGGACGCCGTCCTCAGCCAGTCCTCGCTGATGGCCAGTCAGCAGCTGCGCGACAGGGACGGCGAGGGTGAGGGTGAGGGGGGCACGGGACGCGGCCCCAGGGCTCGCTCAGGGGCTGAGAAGAGCATGAGGCAGCAGCCTCCTGGCCCCATCCCCGTGCTGGAGCTGTAACTCCATCCTGACGTTCTTCTTTGACCTTGCAGAGTGCGGGGAGAGTTTGGAAGGTCAAGAGCATCCCAACCTTGGTGATGGCAACCAGCATCTAAACACCTCCTGTTACCCGTCGACGTGCATTACGGACGTCCTGCTGAGCTACAAGCACCCGGAGGTGCCCTTTGGGATGGAGCAGGCCGGGGTGTAACCAGGAGGGAGTGAGTACTCATCTCCTGCTCTTTCCACCCGCTCCCCTCCCTTTTCCTTCCTCATCCCCTTGCTCCGAGGGGAGAGAGGGACCAGGAGCTCTGAGCTCCCGTGCTGGTGGCTCCCTGCTCATCTGGGGACAGCACTGCTCCTTCCAGAGCCCTGTTGCCTGGGCAGGGTCCCCTATGGGGCTGGGGAATTGCCATCCCCCCACCCCGGTGTCTCCTAACGTCACTGCTTCTCCTCTCTCTTGCAGGTTTTCTGTACAGCTTTGAAACGAAAAGGTCCATTTTAAACCAACAGTATCTAGCAGCATTGCGCCAAATTGCCGTAGTATTTCTGACTAACTGGAATACCATGGCCCCTTTCCTCGTAATCAGTCCATCCAGTGTGTCCTTCCTTTGGTTTCTTTCATGTTGTTTTTTTTTGCCACGTTTGCCTGTAACTCCAGCTACCACGGAAATAACCAGAGACCCTGAGTCCTGACACGGCGGCGGAGGATTCACGGAGCCCGAGCACTGAGGCTGGTTTGGGAGGGCTTTGACTGGCCGGGGCCGGGTGGCCCCCGGGGGCCATCGTGGCCACCCCAGGGCGAGCGGATGGGGCTGCGACCTCCCTGGAGGGGAGAGGAGCCGGGAATGGGGGGGTCCGACGGGATCCCCGGGCAGCTGGAGGCCATGCTGTCCCTCCACTCTGCAACCCTTTGCACTGGGGGGGGGCCCAGCGTGACCCCCCGCCGGGGGGCGAGGACGGTGCCAGCCCCACATCCCCCTCCCTGGGGCATGGCCACCCCTGGTGCAATACGCTTTCCTCTCACCTCTGTCTGCTTTCCCCCCTCCTGTGCTGAGAGGATCCCTCTTCCCCCCCCCTCACCTTTTCTTTGCAAATCCGCATCCGACTGGGGTTGTTTTTTTTCCTTTTCCTGGCTTAACGTAGGGAAGACAGATTTCTTTTGTGTTGGGTTTTTTTTTGTTTTTTTTTTCTTTGTTTTCTGAGCTTCTCCTCCTGATCATGTAGGAATTGGGTTTTTTTTTTTTTTTCTTTGTTTTCTGAGCTTCTCCTCCTGATCATGTAGGAATTGGGTTTTTTTTTTTTTTTCTTTGTTTTCTGAGCTTCTCCTCCTGATCATGTAGGAATTGGGTTTTTTTTTTTTTTTCTTTGTTTTCTGAGCTTCTCCTCCTGATCATGTAGGAATTGGGTTTTTTTTTTTTTTTCTTTGTTTTCTGAGCTTCTCCTCCTGATCATGTAGGAATTGGGTTTTTTTTTTTTTTTCTTTGTTTTCTGAGCTTCTCCTCCTGATCATGTAGGAATTGGGTTTTTTTTTTGGTAAATGTTGTTTTATTATTATTGTTATTAATAAAAAGGCGAAAGGAATTTCTGTTTGAGAGAAATTTTTAAACTAGATTCTGTTCTATATGAATTGTGACTTGCACCTTTTGTTCAAAAGTATTTTATTTCTTTTAATGACATTGTACTTGTGACTGGTTTTCTCTCTCGTGCCAGTGGCGACAGTGGTATCTCCTTTAGACAGTTCAGACGCGCTTTAGATCTCCTCTTTGTCCTTCTCTCCATCCTTCCCCCCACGGATAGAGCGTGACGCCCCGGTGTCAGCAGCGCCTTCGGGACTTTACAAGCTACAGCTCAAATTCTTCTGAGTGAACACTTTTCTGGAATATTTTTAAAAAATTAAAAAAAAAAGAAAAAAGAGAAAAAAAAAAACAAACAAAACAAACAAAAAACACAGAAAAAACGAAAAAAAAAGGAAAAAGCGACCCAGCCCTCCTGAATTTGCACAGAAGGAAGTGTGAAACCAGCACGGCAGAGGGGACTTTGCTATCTCTTCCCGGCCCCCCCTTCTCCCCCGCCCCGGGAGGATAACGCCGAGGGGCTCTGCCGGCCCCGGGGCATCGCGCTGGGTCTGTCTGCATCCCTGGCACGGGGGGGGGCCGGTCCCGAGCGGGGAGACACTGCAAGCCTTTCGCTCTGTCCCTTTGGTTCGTTTTCCTTTTGTTTACATGACACTGTATTTCTGGGAGAGCCCTCCAGACAGCACCCCCGGCAGCAGGGACTCGCCTCACCGTGCCATTTCGCAGTATCACACTTTTTTTATCATTGCTTTGTATTGTAGTAATCAATACGCGCAGTATATGTTGAATGTATATTAATATACTTTGCTATTATTTCTGTTTTTTGGAAATGTCAGAAGTATTTTTTTTTTCTTCCTCATTTATGTTGGACTAAAAAAGAAAAAAAAGAAAAAAAAAGTTTGGGTAAATCTTCAGTCCATTTTTTTGTGGGTCACTTGCAACTAGTCAATTAGTTGGACAGTGGGATCATGACAAATAAAACCATGATGATGATCTTCCCCCCCGTCTCCTGTTTGCCTTGTTGCTCAACTGCCGCCTGCGGAGGCGGAACAGCCCCCGGGGCGCTCGGGGGGCGAAAGCTCAAGGGGCAGCTGCCCTACAGCCACCCTGTCCCCAGAGCTGTCACCTCCTCAGCGGTGCCTGGGGGTGACTCATGGTGTGGGGGACACCGGGGGGCTGCGGGGGTTTCTCTCTCAACCCCACCGAGGGTTCCCGAGGAGCTCCTGCGTGTCCCCAGGGAGCTTTGTGCCCCCCAATTTCTCACCTGGTGTGAGTCTGGGGTCCTTCCGGCCCTTTTCCCTGCCCAGTTTGGCCACTGAGAGCCCACTCTGAGCCCCGGGAGCGCTGCGGAGCCCCCCGCTCTGCCCCTGGGGGACGCTGGCACAGCTGGGTCCTCCCCCCTCCCGCCGGGGGCAGGGGGATGGGGATCACACCCCTCTTCTCCAGCACCTCCTTCTGAATCTGAGTAGGGGGGAAGGTGTGAAGCTGGGGAGGAGATCCCGGGGAAGGGAGCTGGGTCTCCATTGAGCCAGCCTGGCCACGGGGAGCTGGGGCTGGGCTGAAGCTGGGGGGCACCGAGCACCAAAACCAGGCAAGGCTTTGAGCCCCCTGGTCTGGCGGGAGGTGTCAGGGCAGGGGGGGCTGGAACTGGATGGTCTTGAAGGTCCCTTCCAACCCAAACCATCCCGTGATTCCACGCTTGCTCCTCTGCAGCTTCCCCTGGCAATAACCAGCCCCTCTGTCTGCCTCTGTGCCCCCCCCCTCCCCAGCCCTGTGTGCTCAGCTCCTCTGGGTCCCTGCGTTGGTGGCAGTGGGGGGGGGCAGCCCCTTGGTTCGGCTGGGGTTTGGGCTGAGGGGGGCTTTTGGGCTGGTTGGTGGCCAGGCCGGGGGCTGGGGCTGCTCCAAGGCTTTCGCACCGGGAAAAGGGGGGTGATGGCAGCGGTGAGGGTCCCACCGCGGTGGCGAGCGGAGGGGTCCCGGGTACAAGGGGCCAAATCCCGGCGGGTATAAGCCCTGTCCCCGGGCTACCGGCCAACCCCCGGGGGCTGCCGAGAGGAATCTGCCAGCAGGAATCTGGGTCAGCGGGAGCGTAAACAGGCTCCTTGGCGGCCAGCGGCGTCCCGCCGGGAGCTCCTGTTTGCTCGCCGCCCCGGCCAACCCGGCGCTCCTCGGCGCTGGCTCGCACCAGGCGATCCTTGAACTCTCCTCGCCACATCGCCGGGGAGCCATCATCTCCCGGGCTGACGGCGCTGGCTTATCTCCGCCGGGAACTGCCCCCCTCCCGCATAAATACCGGCGGCGGGGAAGCCGCCGGCTCAGACGGGACGATCGGCAGCGCAGCAGCAGCGAGGAGAGAGCCGGTAAGAGCCCCGCGCTGCTCCAAGGGCTCCCGAGCCCCCGCCACGCCGGAGTCCCGGGAGCCTCGCCGGCGGGGACCCCCGGTGCCGGGGAGGGGGGCTCAGTTCCCGTCGGGGCCGACTTTGCTGGGGGCTTCCCTCACCCGACTCTCTTCGCTTTGCCCCCAGATTTCAGCGCCGAGATGAGAGCCGTGGTGGTGGCCCTCGCCCTTCTCTGCCTGACGGGTAGGTCCCGACGGGGACGGGGTGACAAACCCCCGGGGGAACGGAGCAGGACGGGGCAGCCCAGCCCGCAGCGAGCGCCGCTGGAACCTCCTGCCTCCCGACGCGCCCCAAAAGCCCGGCTGCAGCCAAACGGCTTCACCGGTCCCTTCCCCGGTAGCCACGGCTGGGGCTGAACCCGCCGCCGTCCTGCCGGGCACCGTGTCCTGAGCCGAGCTCCTCTCCCCGCAGGCACCCAGGCCCGTTACTTCTGGCAGCACGATGAGCCCCAGGCGCCCCTGGACCGCCTCAAGGACATGGTGGAAGTCTACCTGGAGACGGTGAAGGCCAGCGGCAAGGAAGCCATCGCCCAGCTGGAGTCCTCCGCTGTGGGCAAACAGCTGGAGTGAGTGTTGGGGGCAGCGTGTGATGGGGGATTGGAGGGCGGGGGGTACCCGGGGGGGCCTTTCCTGACCTCCCCCCGCTCCCCGCAGCCTGAAACTGAGCGACAACCTGGACACGCTGGGCGCCGCCGCCGCCAAGCTGCGGGAGGACATGGCCCCTTACTACAAGGAGGTGCGGGAGATGTGGCTGAAGGACACGGAGGCCCTGCGCCAGGAGCTCAGCAAGGACCTGGAGGAGGTGAAGCAGAAGATCCGGCCCTTCCTGGACCAGTTCTCGGCCAAGTGGACGGAGGAGCTGGAGCAGTACCGCCAGCGCCTGGCCCCCGTGGCCCAGGAGCTGAAGGAGCTGACCAAGCAGAAGGTGGAGCTGATGCAGGAGAGGCTGACCCCCGTGGCCGAGGAGGCGCGGGACCGGCTGCGCGGGCACGTGGAGGAGCTGCGCAAGAACCTGGCGCCCTACAGCGACGAGCTGAGGCAGAAGCTGAGCCAGAAGCTGGAGGAGATCCGGGAGAAGGGCATCCCCCAGGCCGCCGAGTACCAGGCTAAGATGGTGGAGCACCTCAGCAACCTGCGCGAGAAGGTGACCCCCCTGCTGCAGGACTTCAAGGAGCGCCTCACCCCCTACGCCGAGAACCTCAAGACCCGCTTCATCACCCTCCTGGATGACCTCCAGAAGAGCGTGGCCTAAGCCGCCGGCCGGCGCAGCCAGGGACTGACCCCGGCCACGCCCCCTGCCCCTGCCCGGGCTGCTTCACCCCCGGGGGGGGCGCTCCAGGGATGGGCCAGGGGAGCCCCGGGCCAGGCCAACCCCGGGGCGTCTTCCCTGGGGACCCCCTTCCTCCCCTCCCGCCGCCTCCCCTCCCCGAACCGGGGTCGGTCTCCGCTTTGCCTTCCTTTTGTCAAATAAACATCACTTAAGTTATTGGAGCCCGCTCAGTCTTTGCAGTGGATGCTGGAGGGGGGGTCCAGGGGGCGCTGCTGTGGGCAGGGGGTGCTGGGGACACTCGGGGGGACACGGGGGGGTGTCAGGGTGGGTGCCCCAAGCCCTCCCCAGTGCTGAGCTGCAGTTGGGCTTGATCTCAAGGGTGTGCAGAAGCTGGATCCCCCCCACCTCCTTCTTGCCCCCCACCCTGGCCACGTACATGTGGCTTGGAGTCCCAGCACCCCGGCACGGCCACTGCCAGCCCTGGTTGGGGGGGTCCCTCCCAGCCCTTCCTCACCCCGCACTCCTCCTCGCAGCCCCCCCAGTGATGCTGCCACAGCCCTCTCTCCTTCAGCGCCGCTTTATTGCAAGAACCGTGACAGCAGGGGAGGGGGGGGGTCCAGGGGGGGGACCCCCAGCCCGGATGGACCCCTGTGGGGGCTACGCGGCCGGCATTTGCTTCCAGAGCTCCTGCACCTTCTCCTTCAGCCAGCCCAGCCGCTGCTTCGCCAGGTCAGCGCTCTCCGCCAGCCATCGCCTGCGAAGGGCAAGGGGGTGGTTGTGGTGGTGGTGGGGGCTCAGCACTGGCTCCCCCCGCGGGGAGCAGGGCAGTGGGCTAGCGGGAGGGCGCGGGGGGCAACCTGGCCTGCTGAGCCACCTCCGACTCCTGCACCCTGCTGAAGGCGTTCTTGGCCATGGCCGTGGCTTTCTGGGCGTACTCCTGCACCTTCCGCAGCAGCGCCTCCGGCTCCCCCGGCGTGTCGGCCCCTGCGAGCACAAGCCCCGTGGGAGCTGGGGGGACGGGGCCAGGGGGCTGTGCCCCCCCCCAGGCCTGAGCCCCGTCCCCCTGAGCCCCGTCCCCCTCCTCCTGCACCGGCCCTTACGTGCTCCCGCTGCCAGGACGGCCATGCAGACAAGTGCCAGCAGGAGTGACGCCTTCATGGCTGGGGAGAGAGCAAAGCACGTGGTGTGGGGGGCAGGCGGGGGGTCCCACATGTCTGTGGGGGTCCCGACCCCCACTCCATCCCTTTCCCTTGCCGGGGGCTGCCCCACTCACCTGCGGCGGGCTCTGCTGGGAGGGGGCGGCCCCGGGATCCCACTTTATACCCTCCCCACCGCCGGCGCCGGGGGTGTTCGTGCAAAGGTCAGGGGCGGTGGGGGCTGCCGGGGAGGGGGCCCGGCTGCAGAGAGCGGCCCCACGGCCAGGGTGGCTGCGGAGGGGCCTGCCCCCCGCCAGGAGTTGGGAAATCCTCCAGCAACCGAGCTGCAGGGAGCTTTGCGTGGGAGCACATGTGTGTGCATGCCTGTACACGCGTGTTCACGCCGGTGTGCTTGCCGCCAGCCCGGTGCCCGTGCCGTGGGGCTGGCGTGGGCACACACGGCACGAGGGTGACATCCAGCGGCACTGGCCCCGGGTGCGATGCCATGGGGCTGGCGGTGCCACCCGGTAGGTGCGGGCGGGCGATACGTGCCCGGGTCCGGCCCTGGGGCACCACAAGGGCCCATAGAATCAGAACCACAGAACCCCATGGGGTTGGAAGGACCTCTGGAGATCATCTCCTCCAACCCCCTGCCAGAGTGGGTCCACCAGAGCAGGTCCCACAGGAACTTGTCCAGGTGGGTTTGAATGTCTCCAGAGAAGGAGACTCCACCACCTCCCTGGGCAGCCTCTGCCAGGGCTCTGCCACCCTCACAGGAAAGATGTTCCTCCTCATGTTTAGGTGGAACTTCTTATATTCAACTTTGTACACATTTCCTCTTGTCCTGTCCCTGGGCACCACTGAAAAAAGACCGGCCCCATCCTCCTGGCACCCACCCTTTCAGTATTTAGAAACATTGATCAGATCCCCCCTCACTTCTCTTCTCCAGACTAGAAAGACCCAAGTCCCTCAGCCTCTCCCCGTAGGCTCTTTGGACCTTGGCATCGCTGTCACCTGGCCGATCCCTGCCCGCGGTGTCCTTCGCCCCGGGTGACACATCACTGCCCATCTGCAGCCTGGAGCAGGTCCACCAGGGTGTAGGTGGCTGGGCCAGGGGCTGCATCCCTGGGGTGGTCCCCAGAGGCCGATGCCCACAGGTCCCAGCCCCAGGCAAGGGGACACCAGCACTGCCTGGGTGCAGCACCCCGCAGTTTTGGGGGGCTGGCTGTTCCTTGGGGCTGGGCTTCCTCCGGGAGCCTGTGCTGGAGGGAGCGATGCTGTCCTGCATGTGCTGTGCCATGTGTATCCCCCTGTATCCATCACAGCATCCCCCCCGAACCCATGTCCTGCTGCACCATGCATGCTGGGTACCACACACCCTGGGTACCACACACCCTGGGTACCACGCAGCTGGCACCGGCGGGGCCATGGCTGCACCCCATGGAGATGTGGAGCCAGTGTCATGGTGCATGGTCCCCTCTGCCCCACGGTCCTTGCCCCCCCAGGAGGGGCTCGGGCCATGCCTGTACCCCACAGAGATGTGAAACTCTCCACGGTCCCCTCTGCCCCAGGGTCCCTGCCCCCAGGAGGGGCTCAGTCCCCTAGGGACCCCTGTCCTCTCTCCACCCCGTCCCCTGTCACCCCGCCGGGAGCTGGCGGGGCTGCGGGTGATGTCAGGGCTGCGCGAGCGTCAGCCGCTTCCACGTCGCGACCTTGCTAAAGTCCAAGCCTGCCGTCTGTGTCACAGGCCTGCGTGGAAGCTGCTGAGGGTGCTGGGGCTGCATAAATAGCAGCCAGGAGCTCTCCGGGGACAGCAGAGACCCACAGCCAGGAGCTCTCTGGGGACAGCAGGGACCCACAGCCAGCAGCAGCACAGGTGAGTGGCTGCCTGGAGGGCTGAGGGGTCCATTACTGGTGGGGGGGAGCTGGGGGCTGCCATTCTCGGGGGCTCTCTTCACCTCCACTCTGTGCTCCCCCAGGCATCTCCCAGCGCTCAGGATGTCACCGAAGGCGGCCAGCCTTGTGCTGGTGCTCCTGGCCATCGCAGGTGAGGCAGCGTGTGGGTCCTCGGAGGGTGGTCCTGCCCTGGGGCAGGGGTGGGGAGCTGATGGGGGGTGGGAGCTGCTGCAGAGCGGGATTGCGATCCCGGCATCCTCTTGCAGGGACACGGGCTGATGTCAACCCGGACGAGGTGGCCAGCGTGCTCTGGAAGTACTTCACGGAGCTGGGCAGCAACGCCAAGGAGACGGTGGACCAGCTGCAGCAAGCCGAGCTCACCAAGCAGCTCAAGTGAGCAGAGACCCCGGGCTCCGGGGAGGCGGGGGGGACACGGCGGTGGCCAGGGTGGTGGGCATGCCATGGGTGCTGAGGGTGACATCCCCCTCCTTTCCCCAGCACCCTGCTGGAGAGCAACCTGAAGAGTGTCAACACCTACGCCGAGGACCTGCAGCGGCGGCTGGTGCCCTTCGCCACGGAGCTGCAGGCGCGGCTGGCGCAGGACTCGCAGCGGCTGAAGGAGCAGATCCGGCGGGAGCTGGCGGAGCTGCAGGCCAAGCTGGCCCCCTACGCTGACGAGGTCCACCAGCAGATCGGCACCAACATCCGCCAGCTGCAGGCCAAGATGAGCCCCTACGCCGAGGAGCTGCGGGAGCGGGTGGACCGCGGGGCCGGGGAGCTGCGGCGGGCGCTGGAGCCCTACGCCACCGAGCTGCGGGACCGGCTGCAGGACAATGCCGAGAGCGTCCAGGCCTCCCTCAGCCCTTACGCCGACCGGCTGCAGCAGCAGATTGACGGCGGGGTGGAGAGCCTGAAGGAGCGGCTGGCCCCCATGGCGGACGAGCTGAAGGCGCAGGTGGGGCAGAGCGTGGAGGAGCTGCGCAAGGGGCTCAGCCCCTACGCCCAGGAGGTGCAGGACGGCCTCAACCGCCAGCTGGAGAGCCTGACGGCACAGATGGAGCGGGCGGCGGAGGAGCTGCGCGCCCGCCTGGCCGCCAGCTCGGAGGAGCTGCGTGCCCAGCTCAGCCCGCTGGCCCAGGAGCTGCGGCAGGTGGCCAGCGGTGACGCCGAGAGCCTGCGGCAGCGCCTGGCCCCCCTGGCCCAGCAGCTGGACGAGCGCGTGGGGCAGACGGTGGAGGCTTTCCGGCAGCAGGCGGCCCCCTTCGGCGAGACCTTCGGGCGGCAGCTGGTGGAGAAGCTGGAGGAGATGCGGGGGAAGCTGGACTCGGGCGCCGCCGGCGTGGAGGACCACCTGGAGCTGCTGGAGAAGGAGGTGCGGGAGAAGGTGGCCGCCTTCCTCAGCACCGCCCGGCCACCAGCCAACTGAGCCCCCCTCCCCAAGTGCCTCAGTGACTATCCATCCCCCCCACACCATCAGATTTCACGGGCACTGCCCGTGGCAGAAATAAACTGTCCCCTTGTGATGCACGTGCTGGTCTGTGTCCCTTCTTCTCCACAGCATCCCTGCCCCGGGACGGGCCACCTGGGCCACCCGGGCCACCTGGTCTGAGGGGAGAGCATCACCCCTGAACTGGGGCACCAGGGCCCCCAGGGAGAGGGGGCACCGGAGGGGCCGGGTGGGTGGGGGTCTCCATCCCCAGCTACGGGTGCAGGTCTTGCTGGGGGGGCTGGAGGTGGGGGCGGCCGAGTGAGCCCATCAGCCAGCGTGGGCAACTCACAGCAACTCGGTGGCAACCAGGTGGCCCTGGAGGGGCAGACGGCCGAGCATCGCCACCGCAGCGGGGGCAGCTGCCGCCATGGGGGCCGGGTGCCTGCGGGCTGTGCTGGGGGGGTGATGGACCCCTCCTCCCCGCGGGGACCAGCCCCAGGCGCAGCAGGGGGAGGGCCCTCGTCCCCAGGAGCTTCCCAGCTCAGAGAGAAGCAGCAGGGACTGGAGCTGTGGCCGCAGCGAGCGCCCCGAGCCACCCTGCTGGTGGGTGCCCCATGAGGATCCCCCCCCAAAAGGATGGGGGACCCCTCCCACAGACGGGGGGATTTCCCTCGTGGGCTGCAGCAGCAGGAGCTGGGGGCTGGGAATGTGCCCGGGGCTCCTCGGGGCGGCCCCTGGACTTTGGTGCCAGGGGAGCGTTGGCCACAGCTCGGTGTTTCAGCCCTGCAGCGCCCTGGACTTTGCCCCCCCGGACCCCAGACCCCCCGGGGGAGGAGGGGGGGCAGCCGTGGCTCCCAGCAGGTCCCTGTTTGCCGAGTTGCCTCAGCGCAAACATTGCAGCGCTCGCCCGAGTTAAAAGCCTGGCGTCAGCAGCCCCCGCGCCGCCCCGGGACGGGGCCCCAGAGGGAAACAGTGACACTTCTTTCTTTTCCCCCAGGGGAGAAGCAACTTTAGAGGGGAACACGCCAAACCAGGGTGGGTTTTGGTATCCTGGTGGGGAGCGGGGCCGGCAGCCCCCAAGGAAGGTGCACTCTCTTCCCCGGGCCACTGTGCTCGTTTCGCCCTTCCCTGGCACGGCTGGAGCCGGACTCATTGTCCTGCACCCACCCTGGGGCTCTGGGCTTCCTTGCCCCCCAGTTTGGACTACAAGCCCCTGCGACAGGAGCCACCAGCCCATGTCCCCGTCCCCATCCTGCTGCTCTGTCCCCCTTCCCCACCCTGGCAGCCCCCGTCCACCGCTCCCAAGCTCGGCGGCCCCCTTCTCGTCCCGAGGAACCTGCAGCGAGGGTTTCCCCTTATCCCCGGGGAAAACACGTGCTGATCCAGCGGGAGGGCCTGGCCGGTGTTGGGGCAGCTCCGGGGCCAGATCTCTGCCCGGGGAGGGGCAGGGTGGCAGCCCCGAGGGGGTTAAGGCCGCCCAGCGTGGGGCAGGCGAAGGGGCGGCCGGTGGTGGACAGAGGACCGTGTCCATCCCTCCCCCCCAATGTCACCTCCCAGGAAGGTCCCGTGGAGCTCCACGTTGTGTTTACACGGCGTGAGGTCCAACAGGCCCTACCCCCGGGATGCACTGTGCCGCCCGCGCCCCTCGGCCTCCCCAGGACTATATAAAGGTGGCCACGGGGCTGGCTCCCAGCGGGAGGGACACGGGAGGCCACCGGGAGCCTGAGCTCTGCCTGAACCAGGTGGCACCTCCTGGGCATCTTCTTTGTGTTCCTGGGGACCCCGGGAGTGGGATCTTTTGGCGGGGGGGTGTGTGTGAAACTAACGCGCCCCGTTTCTCTCTCCCCGCAGCATGTCGGGCCGGCAGATCACGCCTCTGAAGGCCGCGCTTCTCCTGGCCCTCCTGGCCACCTTACCGGGTGGGTGGCGAGCCGGGGGAGCTGGCTGGGGAACGGGTGGGACGTGGGGTGAGTGGGGGGCGGGCAGCGCCATGGTTCCCCCCCCTCACTGATGGCTGCCCTCCTCCCCGCAGTGTCGCCGGCCGAGCCGGCACGGAGTGGGTTCTGGGAGTACCTCAGCCAGCTGACGAGTGACAAGGAGAGCCCGGAGCAGGGCCCGAGCAGCAAGCTGGGCAGGGACATCGTGTGAGTACACTGCTCCTGGGGACGGGGGGGCTCAGCTGCCCCCAGACCCACTGACACACACTGCCCCCCCAGTTCTCTTCCCCTGGGCATGGAAAAGCTCACGAGGGCCACCCTCAGGGGTGACAACAACTCGCAGCGGCCCCGTGGGGGGCACCCAGTGACCTCCTGTGCTGTCTCCTGCAGAAACCTGAAGGAGAACATCCAGGACGGGGTCAGCTACGTGGGGAACTTCCTGGAGAAGCTGGGGCCCCTCAACAGAGGCCTCCAGCCCCGGCTCTACCAGGACTCGGACAGCCTGCGGAAACTCATCCGGAAGGAGCTGGAGAGCCTGCGGGTGAAGCTGTCCCCCTACGTGGATGACGTCCACCAGAAGGTGGGGAAGCACCTGGAAGACCTTCGCTACCGGCTGCAGCCCTTCACGGAGGAGCTCCTGGACCAGGTGTCCCTCAAAGCCCGGGAGCTCCGGCGGCACCTCATGCCCAGCCGGGAGGCCACGGCCCAGCTCCTGGAGGGCGCGGATGAGGTGCAGAGGTTCATGGCTCATTACGCCGACAAGATTGCCCTCCACACCGACCAAGTGAAGGACATCTTCCAGCCCTACGCGGACAGGCTGGTGACCGAGATCCACCGCAATGTGGAGGAGCTGCACCGCAACGTTGTCCCGCACACCCGGGCCAGCCCGGAGAAGCTCAACCAGTACATCCAGGAGCTCTCCACCAAGCTGACCCAGAACGCCAGGGACCTCCACCAGAAGATCCAGAGGAACCTGGAGCAGCTCAAGGCCAAGCTGAGCCTCTACCCCGGCAGCCTCCAGCAGCAGCCGGCCTCCACGGAGGAGCTGGCCCGGGAGGTGCAGCGGCGGGTGGAGGAGTTCCGTAGGGACACATACATCCAGATCCAGGACTTCACCCGCGCCCTCGACCAGGAGACGGAGGAGATGAGGCTGAAGCTCTCCTCCTCCTCCTCCCGGCCCTCCCACCCGGGGGACCCCCAGGAGGGCCCTCCCGCCCTGGAGGACCTGCACGCCCGCCTCGACGCCCTCTGGAGGGACCTGGCGCACAGCCTGAGCGAGCGGGGCGGGGAGGCGCGCTGAGGGGGCGGCGGGGGGCAGCGGGGACGGGGCCGGCTCGGGCTGAACCGCAATAAAGGCGCCGCCATGGCGGACCCGGCCGGGCCTCGCCGCCTCCTCACATGATCCCCGCCCGCCCCACGTGATCCCGCGCCCGCCCCCCACGTGACCGCGCGGCGCGCAGGCGCGGCGGGGG